CAGTCGGTGTCCCCCGAGGAGCACCGGCGGTTCCCGGAGCGGGGTTTGGTGGCCCGGGGGTGGGTGTGGGTGGCCCGGGGGGGCTGTGGGTGGCCCGGGGGTCCCGGCAACCCCACACCAGTCCCCGATCCGTAGCTGGTGTCCCCCCGGGCACCGGTGGTTCCTGGAGCGGAGTTTGGTGGCCCAGGGGTGGGTGTGGGTGGCCCGGGGGTGGGTGTAGGTAGCCCGTGGGTGGGTGTGAGTGGCCCAGGGGTCCCGGCAGCCCCACGCCCATGTCCCCGATCTGCAGCTGGTGTCCCCAAACGGGGTTTGGTGGCCCGGGGGTGGGTGTAGGTGGCCCGGGGATGGGTGTAGGTAGCCCAGGGATGGGTGTGGGTGGCCCGGGGATCTCGGCAGCCCCACGCCCATGTCCCGATCCGCAGCTGGTGTCCCCCGAGGAGCACCGGCGGTTCCTGGAGCGGGGTTTGGCTCTGGCCGAGCGGCGCAGCCAGAACAGTTTCCACTGCCGGGGCCGGGACTGCCCGGGCTGGTGCTTCTACGAGGACGCGGTGAACGAGTTCCCGTGTCCCGTGTGGGGGGCCCTCAACTGCCTCCTGTGCAAGGTGAGCCCGGGGGGGGGCCCGGGGGGAACCCCGGGGGGGGTCCCGGGGGGCTCAGCACTGACCTCCCGCCCCCCCAGGCCATCCACGAGGGGCAGAACTGCCGCCAGTACCAGGACGAGCTGCAGCTGCGGGCGCAGCACGACGCGGCCGCGCGGCAAACCAGCGACATGCTGCAGGTCTGGGGGGCTCGGGGGGGGCCGGGGAGGGGGGAAACGGGGGGTCCCCGTGGGGCTGACCCCCCTCCTCTCCCTGTGCCCCCCCCCGGCCGTTGGTGCAGCGGGGGGAGGCCATGCACTGCCCCACGTGCCGCATCGTGGTGCAGAAGAAGGACGGGTGCGACTGGATCCGCTGCACCGTGTGCCAGACCGAGATCTGCTGGGTCACCCGCGGGCCGCGATGGGGGCCGGCGGTGAGGGGGGTCCTGGGGGG